ACACTCAGCAATTTATGTTACAGACACATACTCAGCTATTTATCACACAGAAACACACTCAGCTATTTATCATACAGAAACACTCAGCTATTTATCTTACAGAAACACACTCAGCTATTTATCACACAGAAACACACTCAGCTATTTATGTTACAGAAACACACTCAGCTATTTATCACACACAAACATACTCAGCTATTTATGTTACAGACATATATTCAGCTATTTATCTTACAGAAAGTCACTCAGATATATATCATACAGAAACACACTCAGCTATTTATCTTACAGAAACACACTCAGATATTTTTCATACAGAAACATGCTCAGCTACTTAACATAGAGAAACTTACTCAGCTATTTATCTTACAGAAACACACTCAGCTATTTATCACACAGATACATACTCAGCTATTTATCACACAGACACATACTCAACTATTTACAATACATAAACACACTCAGTTATTTATCACACAGAATCACACTCAGCTATTTATCATACAGAAACATAATCAGCTATTTATCTTACAGAAACATGCTCAACTATTTATCATAGAGACACATACTCAGCTATTTATCATCCATAAACACACTCAGCTATTTATCTTACATAAACACACTCAGTTATTTATCACACAGAATCACACTCAGCTATGTATCATACATACACACAATCAACTACGTATCTTACAGAGACATGCTCAGCTATTTATCATACAGAAACATACTCAGTTATTTATCACACAGAATCAAACTCAGCTATTTATCATACACAACCGTGCTCAGTTATTTATCATACATCAACACACTCACCTTTTTATCATACAGAAACACACAATCAGCTATTTATCATACAAAAAGACACTCAGCTATTCATCTTACATAAACACACTCAGCTATTTATTATACATAAACATATTCAGCTATTTATCTTACAGAAACACACTTAGATATTTATCTTACAGAAACACACTGAGCTATGTATCTTACAGAAACACACTCAGATAGTTATCTTACAGAAACATCCTCAGCTATTTATCTTACAGAAACACACTGAGCGATTTATCATACAGACAGATGCTCAGCTATTTATCTTACAGAAACACACTGAGCGATTTATCATAGACAGATACTCAGCTCTTTATCTTACATAAAGACACTCAGCTATTTATCATACATAAACACACTGAGCGATTTATCATACAGACAGATGCTCAGATATTTATCTTACAGAAACACACTCAGATATTTATCTTACAGAAACATGCTCAGCTATTTATCTTACAGAAACTCACTTAGCGATTTATCATACAGACAGATGCTCAGCTATTTATCTTAGAGAAACACACTCAGTTATTTATCTTAGAGAAACATGCTCAGCTATTTATCTTACAGAAACACTCAGCGATTTATCATACAGACAGATGCTCAGCTATTTATCTTAGAGAAACACACTCAGTTATCTATCTTACAGAAACATGCTCAGCTATTTATCTTACAGAAACACACTGAGCGATTTATCATACAGACAGATGCTTAGCTATGTATCTTAGAGAAACACACTCAGTTATTTATCTAACAGAAACATGCTCAGCTATTTATCTTACAGAAACACACTGAGCGATTTATCATAGAGACAGATGCTCAGCTATTTATCTTAGAGAAACACACTCAGTTATTTATCTTACAGAAACATGCTCAGCTATTTATCTTACAGAAACACACTGAGCGATTTATCATAGAGACAGATGCTCAGCTATTTATCTTAGAGAAACACACTCAGTTATCTATCTTACAGAAACATGCTCAGCTATTTATCTTACAGAAACACACTCAGCTATTTATCATACAGACAGATGCTCAGCTATTTATCTTACAGAAACACACTCAGATATTCATCTGACAGAAACATGCTCAGCTATTTATCTTACAGAAACACACTGAGCGATTTATCATACAGACAGATACTCAGCTATTTATCTTAGAGAAACGCACTCAGCTATTTATCTTAGAGAAACACACACAGATATTTATTATACAGAAACACACTCAGCTATTTATCATACAGACAGATGCTCAGCTATTTATCTTACGGAAAAACACTCAGATATTTATCATACAGAAACACACTGAGCTATTTATCATACAGACAGATGCTCCGCTATTTATCTTGGAGAAACACAGTCAGATATTTATCATACAGAAACACACTCAGCTATTTATCATACAGAAACACGCTCAGCTATTTATCATACAGACAGATGCTCCGCTATTTATCTTGGAGAAACACAGTCAGATATTTATCATACAGAAACACACTCAGCTATTTATCATACAGACAGATGCTCAGCTATTTATCTTACAGAAACACACTGAGCTATTTATCTTACAGAAACACACTGAGCTATTTATCATACAGAAACAAGCTCAGCTATTTATCTTACAGAAACATGCTCAGCTATTTATCTTCGAGAAACGCATTGAGCGATTTATCATACAGACAGATACTCAGCTATTTATCTTACAGAAACACACTGAGCGATTTATCATACAGACAGATGCTCAGCTATTTATCTTAGAGAAACACACTCAGATATTTATCATACAGAAACACAATCAGCTATTTATCATACAGACAGATGCTCAGCTATTTATCATACAGAAACACAATCAGCTATTTAGCATACAGACAGATGCTCAGCTATTTATCTTACAGAAACACACTGAGCTATTTATCATACAGAAACAAGCTCAGCTATTTATCATACAGAAACACACTGAACTATTTATCTTACAGAAACACACTGAGCTATTTATCATACAGAAAAAAGCTCAGCTATTTATCTTACAGAAACATGCTCAGCTATTTATCTTCGAGAAACGCACTGAGCGATTTATCATACAGACAGATACTCAGCTATTTATCTTACAGAAACACACTGAGCGATTTATCATACAGACAGATGCTCAGCTATTTATCTTAGAGAAACACACTCAGATATTGATCATACAGAAACACAATCAGCTATTTATCATACAGACAGATGCTCAGCTATTTATCATACAGAAACACAATCAGCTATTTAGCATACAGACAGATGCTCAGCTATTTATCTTACAGAGACACACTCAGATATTTATCACACAGAAACACACTGAGCTATTTATCTTACAGAAACATGCTCAGCTATTTATCTTACAGAAACATGCTCAGCTATTTATCTTACAGAAACACACTCAGCTATTTATCATACAAAAACACACTGAGCTATTTATCATACAGAAACACACTCAGCTATTTATCTTACAGAAACATGCTCAGCTATTTATCATACAAAAACACACAGCGATTTATCATACAGACAGATGCTCAGCTATTTATCTTAGAGAAACACACTCAGATATTTATCATACAGAAACACAATCAGCTATTTAGCATACAGACAGATGCTCAGCTATTTATCTTACAGAGACACACTGAGCTATTTATCTTACAGAAACACACTGAGCTATTTATCATACAAAAACACACTGAGCTATTTATCACACAGAAACACACTGAGCTATTTATCTTACAGAAACATGCTCAGCTATTTATCTTACAGAAACATGCTCAGCTATTTATCTTACAGAAACATGCTCAGCTATTTATCATACAAAAACACACTGAGCTATTTATCATACAGAAACACACTCAGCTATTTATCTTACAGAAACATGCTCAGCTATTTATCATACAAAAACACACTGAGCGATTTATCATACAGACATATACTCAGCTATTTATCTTACAGAAACACACTGAGCGATTTATCATACAGACAGATGCTCAGCTATTTATCTTAGAGAAACACACTCAGATATTTATCATACAGAAACACAATCAGCTATTTAGCATACAGACAGATGCTCAGCTATTTATCTTACAGAGACACACTCAGATATTTATCTTACAGAAACACACTGAGCTATTTATCATACAAAAACACACTGAGCTATTTATCACACAGAAACACACTGAGCTATTTATCTTACAGAAACATGCTCAGCTATTTATCTTACAGAAACATGCTCATCTATTTATCATACAAAAACACACTGAGCTATTTATCATACAGAAACACACTCAGCTATTTATCTTACAGAAACATGCTCAGCTATTTATCTTACAGAAACATGCTCAGCTATTTATCTTACAGAAACATGCTCAGCAATTTATCATACAAAAACACACTGAGCTATTTATCATACAAAAACACACTGAGCTATTTATCATACAAAAACGCACTGAGCTATTTATCATACAAAAACACACTGAGCTATTTATCATACAGAAACACACTCAGCTATTTATCTTACAGAAACATGCTCAGCTATTTATCTTACAGAAACATGCTCAGCTATTTATCTTACAGAAACATGCTCAGCTATTTATCATACAAAAACACACTGAGCTATTTATCATACAGAAACACACTCAGCTATTTATCATACAGAAACGGAGACACGTCCTGGCAGCCACAAACCAGTGTTTAAAAGAGGTCTTCAGCAACCCATGCTTGTCGTAAGAGGCGACTAACGGGACGGGTGGTCAGGCTCGCTTACTTGGTTGATGGATGTCATCGTATACCAACTGCGTAGATCGATGTTCATGACGTCAGTCACTGGATTGTGTTGTCCAGAATCGATTATTTACAAACCGCCGTCATTTAGCTGGAATATTGCTGAGGGCGGCGTTAAACAACAATCACCATCACCAAGCAGCCGCACACACACGCACATGCACACGCACAGCCAAGCGGACACACAGATTGCAGTTGCACATCGCTTTATGGGTGAAATAATCTTGATTGCGACGTTTAACCCAGTTTCACCTCACCTGGGTTCTGACGGACGACTCAGGTGGGGAGTGTGGTGGTGAACACTCATAGTACGTTAAGTAGGGGTAGATAGTAATAAAGAGTTTGGGATCAATAATAAACAATATTTCAACTTACGTTGCCCCAATGGCATCCAGCGCGTGTTAGCGACACAAGGTAGCATATTAACTCAGTTCCGCCCACCTGCAAATCACGAAAAAGAAACCCGATTAGCAGGTGATGAATGACACTCCATTTTATACACTGCGTGTCGACGGTGTCGCAGGCTTGCTGTGTGGTCACAGACGGGTGCTACAAGGTCTACTCAAACAATCGATGTCGCCATTCCACCGTCAAAACGATGTCAGATATATAACTAATATTAAAGTAAATGTGTCACGAGACGAGGTGTTGGCTTTCGACCATTGCGTGTCAACATCAAATCTAATGTAGTCTTCGGTGTGAATTAAACCAGCATTCAACCCGGAAAATACACAGGCTCTCTTGTCTATTTGAATAAAAGGCGTTGAATGGGTTTAACATGAAGGCGCATTGGTTGTTGAGCTTCCGTATTGAAACCAAATGCATTTATAATGCGCACGAAAAGAACCACTATCGGATTTGAATACGTCCACAGTCGCTCTGGGAAACACGGTTATTTACTACGTTAATAAAACACACTATATGCACACTAATTTGCCGACACTAATTCCGACAAAGCTTATTTTCATTCATCCGACCCGCACTTCATGTTTTTATCAAGGAGTTAAGTTGGGTGGTTGAGTGAGTGGTTGGTTGAGTGAGGGATTGGATAGGTGAGGGGTGAGTTTGTGAGTAGTTGGTTGAGTGAGTGGCTGGTTGATTGAGAGGTTGAGTGAGTGGTTGGTTGAGTGAGTGGTTGTTTGAGTGAATGGTGGTTGAGTGACTGGTTGGTGAGTGAATTAGTGAGTGTTTGGTTGAGTGAGTGGTTGGTTGAGTGAATGGTGGTTGAGTGACTGGTTGGTGAGTGAATTAGTGAGTGGTTGTTTGAGTGAGTGGTTGGTTGGGTGAGTGGTTGTTTGAGTGAGTGGTTGGTTGAGTGACTGGTTGGTGAGTGAGTGGCTGGTTGATTGAGGGGTTGAGTGAGTGTTTGGTTGAGTGGTTGTTTGGTTGAGCGAATGGTGGTTGAGCTATTGGTTGGTGAGTGAGTGGCTGGTTGATTGAAGGGTTGAGTGAGTGTTTGGTTGAGTGGTTGTTTGGTTGAGTGGATGGTGGTTGAGTGATTGGTTGGTGAGTGAGTGAGTGTGTTAGTGAAACATAATCAGGACAAAACAGGATTTGAACCAACGATTTCATGACCAGGCCCTACAATACCAGATTTTGATTGTTGCCCCGACATGACCAGGCCCAACAATAGCTGATATAGGGTGTGACCCGGGAAGACCCGAGCGGCTATATGCAGGTGGACATCATCAACTAACTGTATGTCATTGTGTTAGTGACAGTTACTTCAATACCGGAGATGTTATTTAAATATAACTGATTTATAAATATGTATTCAATTAAAACTGTTTCAATCACATGCTTTAACTAAGAAAACACTTTGCAAAAATGTCTTGTTTGTGGCAGATGTGGCAGTCTGATGCATAATTATTTGTTTCAATCGTTTTCGGGAACAGTTAATTGCTTTAGATTAACTCCCAGGTGACATTTTCACATCGATTGGCGGAATTCAAACGCTTAAAACGTTCTGATCAATAAGTGTAGTGTTACAACAATATATGTAATTAGAAATACAATACTATGAACACAGGCAAACACACATTCAGAATTTAATATGCGTGTTCAAATTGTGTAGACACACGGTCGGCCATGACTACTGTACTCTGATTGTAGTCATGTGACATGTGGCATGATGGCTATTGTAGTGATATGAGTAAATATAATTGTTTTAATTGTGACTATTTTGTCAAAATATGTTATTTAGCTATAAATTAATTCCCTTGGGACCCGTGAAGATCCGGCGTAAGATAGGTCTTCAGCAACCCTTGCTTGCCGTAAAAGGCGACTATGCTTGTCGTAAGAGGCGACTAACGGGATCGCGTGGCCAGGCTCGCTGACTAGGTTGATGGATGCCGTCGATCGAAATTGCGTGGATCAATGCTCATGATGTCAGCCACTGGATTGTCTAGTCCAGACTCGATTATTTACAAACCGCCGTCATATAGTTGGAATATTGCTGAGTGCGGCGTTAAGCAACAAAGAAACAAACTCTATACCTTCCCTGAAGTGATAACAAAGTTGCTGATAAAACATCATGTGTGACCATTGCCTCCTTTGATAGAGTGCCACGTGTATACATTTGTCTGACAGTGTACAGGTCGTGTTGTAGTCGGACACACCCTATACATTTTGTGAAAAGCTCCTTGTCATATGTATGTATAATTTAAGTAATCTATATATTGTTTGGCCGTTTCTACAAAGTTAGAGGTTCTGAACGTGAAAGTCTCAGTATTTGGGACGAAACCTTGCTTTCAGACCTCGTACTGATGAAGATACAATACAGCCTGATTGATCGACTTCAGGACAATCGTTGTTCTGTGGGCTTCAAGATCAATATACTATTCTCATTTAATGCATACATCCGCTAGATATTGTGAATCATCTACTCTGCCACGAGACAGTTCAATGGAGCAAATAAATGTCAGCCTATCGATCTGCAGCCAATATCAGTGATCAATTATTGATCAAATCAATATCGGAAATGAAAAGATATATAGAACTTCAAGGTTTGACGGTTTGACAACCGGGTAGATTAATTTAGACTGCCAGAGTTTCGCAGTTTCGCTATACACGTATCTTACACATCATCTGGAAACTTTTACCCAACAATAAACATTTCCTAAACATTGTATTTCGACAGAAAACAAAGTTCGTCAAGACAATGAGTTTGCATGGACCACGTTTGTTCGTTTGTTTGTTTGTTTAAAAAAAGACGCACTCAGCAATATTCCAGCTATATGACGGCGGTCTGTAAATAGTCGAATCTGGAACTGACAACCCAGTGATTGACATCATGAGCATCGATCCACGCAACTGGAATACGATGACATGCATCAACCAAGTCAGCGAGCCTGACCAGCCGCTCCCGTTTGTCGCTTTACGTCAAGCATGGGTTGCTGAAAACCTGTTCCACCCCGGATCTTCACGGGTCGGCAGAAGCCACGTTACTGGGATAACATTATACACCCGTGCTTGAACTTACAGTGTGACCTTTGATCCCTGGCAATTATCTCAGGAAAATGTGAATATTGAACCTTAGTCATTGTTGGCCTTTCTGTTTTCTGGTACCGCTTCTATCTCCAGGCCAGGTTTTCCAGGTCGGACATATTCGGAAGGGAGATCACTCTCGAATAATTACGACAAAGTAAATTCTGTCCTTTACATAAACCGGTAGTGTGTAAGAAGATCGAGCCTCACTGGTAATTTACATTCTATAAAATCACATTTTTGTTCTTGTTTGTTTTATGCTGATGTATTTTGTGTCCGATTGATAAATATGAAAAAAATTCAAGGAATGTTTCACCCATGACAGGAGTGTCTGGTACAGACTCGATTATTTACAGACCGCTGTCATATAACTGGAATATTGCTGAGTGCGGCGTTAAACAACAAACCAACCAACCAACCAACCAAACAACCAACCAATCTACCACTTCATGAAACACATGAGCACAGGTAACACAGAACAACGGTTTGCATCCGAAAATCCGTACACCCGTTTATCCCCACACCCGGTATCCCTAACGCCCGTTCTCCCATACACCCGTTATCCCTAACACCCGTTATCCCTAACACCCGTTCTCCCTAACACCCGTTCTCCCTAACACCCGTTCCCCCATACACCCGTTCTCCCTAACACCCGTTATCCCTAACACCCGTTCTCCCATACACCCGTTATCCCTAACACCCGTTCTCCCTAACACCCGTTATCCCTAACACCCGTTCTCCCCAACACCCGTTATCCCTAACATCCGTTCTCCCTAACACCCGTTATCCCTAACACCCGTTCTCCCATACACCCGTTATCCCTTACACCCGTTATCCCTAACACCCGTTATCCCCAACACCCGTTATCCCATACACCCGTTATCCCTTACACCCGTTATCCCCAACACCCGTTATCCCTAACGCCCGTTCTCCCTAACACCCGGTATCCCCAACACCCGTTAGCCCATACACCCGTTATCCCTAACACCCGTTATCCCTAACACCCGTTATCCCTAACACCCGTTATCCCTAACACCCGTTCTCCCATACACCCGTTCTCCCATACACCCGTTATCCCTAACACCCGTTATCCCTTACACCCGTTATCCCTAACGCCCGTTATCCCTAACACCCGGTATCCCCAACACCCGTTATCCCATACACCCGTTATCCCTAACACCCGTTCTCCCATACACCCGTTCTCCCATACACCCGTTATCCCTTACACCCGTTATCCCCAACACCCGTTATCCCTAACGCCCGTTCTCCCTAACACCCGGTATCCCCAACACCCGTTATCCCATACACCCGTTATCCCTAACACCCGTTCTCCCATACACCCGTTCTCCCTAACACCCGTTCACCCATACACCCGTTCACCCATACACCCGTTCACTCATTCACCCATATCTACCTTCAGTGTGACAAAACATGTTCCAAGGGACATTGATACAATTTCATTTTGAAAAGAGATTAAAGCAAAATGGTAGGTGATGGGGCAAGTCTGATACAAAAGATTTAAGAAAGTATTTGAATAAGGCAACAACTTGTAGTATTATGGGTTTGTAGTGAGTGAGTGGGTTTTAGCAATATTCCAGAAATATCACGCTGGGGGGGGGTGGGGGGGGGGGGGGGTGAGGGCGGCAGAAAAGGGGCTTCTCAATATTGTACCCATGTCGCGAATCGAACCCGGGTCTTCGGCGTGAAGAGCGAACGCTTGAACCACTAGGCTACTCGACCGCCCCTATTTCGGTTTGTAAACTCAACTGTCAGATAGCTGTATCGTATGGGAACCGATCATATTAACCTTTGGTGAATTCATCCGTAATGAGATCAAAATCCACGTGTGTGTGTGCCTGAACGTTTTGTGGCAGATATCTTGCATTTGTTCAGCTCAAATATTGCCTTGCCTTTGCATGTGTTTGTGATGGCTGTCACCGGTGGGGCAGGATACG